ACAGCGGGAATTCGGTCTCTGGGCACGCCTCGCCTGTGAGTAAAGCTGTGAATGTCTTTAGGCGCGGGAAGGGAAGCGGGTTTGCTGCTTGCTTTCTCTGCTTCGTACGGCTTAGCGCAGCTCCAGCCCGAGCTGTAGATGAAGTGCTACTTGGGCACCATAGATTGCTTTTAAGGACTTAAGAGGTCATCTCGTCCCAAACGCCTGCCATGGGCAGGGACACGTTCCCCTAGACCAGGTTGCTCCAACGTGGCGTTGAACGCTTCCAGAGATGGGACATCCATGCTTGTTCCTGTGCCTCCACACCGTCCTTGGGTTCCTCACCCTTCCCAGCTCAAGCAGGAGCCCAAGGGACCGCGTTTCTTTGCAGTGCCGCACAGCCAAGAGGCTTTAGGGCTTTTTAAGTAAGGTGTTTGCAGATCATTCACTCTTGACTCTGCTGGGGTGTGTACGGGGAGCTGAGCCCTGCTGTGGGTGTGTGAGGGCACAGCTCATTCCAATTTTGTGGAAATGGATCAGAACGCCCTTCTGTAACAACATTGCATCAATTTTCTGATTTCTGCCTGAAGCTCCATGTCTGGGCTGGCTTTTCCCATTTGAATTTCCTGCTCAGTGATGACTAGATGCTCTAAAACAAAAGTGAAGCCCATTAGCTGCCATTGGGAATTCAGTGAAGAAGGCCATAGACCAGCCTATGCAGTGAGTGCTGCTGCTTGCTGGTTCTCCTTTAATTGCCCCTCTCCAGTCATCCCACAACACTGAAGCCCCTTTCTGCCTCTGTAAGTGTTAAACTAACGTGTCAATGATGTTTTTCAGGTGGATCCTCACGTGTTTTCTGGTCCTGATGGTGCAGAGACATTGGCAGGAATGGAGACCTGGTCAAGGCTAGGTCTTAAATAATGCAAATGAAGACTCAGAGTAGTGTGTCCATGCTGCTCTTAAAAGCAGACTCTTGTAAAGTAGCTCTGCTTTCTGATGCAAATGCAGGAAGAACACAAAAAGCATCTGGGTTTGATGTTGCATTTCTTCATAAAAGAGTCAGTAGCCAATTTGTTGAGAGTATTGGTATGAGAGACAGGCAGGTTTGAAATCCAGCTAAAACCCAAGTTATTTTTGGTTCTGGGAATGGGCCATAGTCTGTTAATAGTGGAAGCACTATAATCAAACATCTGTGTTCATCTGTATTGTCCATGGCTCTCTGTCATGGATTTTCTCAGCAGAGTTTCCTCAGGTGCCAAAATCAGTGCCAAGAGCCTGACTGGTTGGGAATGTGCCATAAATATGGGGTTTCAATGCAGATTGTTTCTCAATCTTGACTCTCAGGTGTAAAGTTCCCACTTTGCAGTATCCTGAGTACAAATCAGCAGAAAAGAGAGGAGACAAAACCATTTCTCAGTGGAAGAAAGGGATTGCTGAACAACAGAGCAAACCAGGAGACTGTAGAAGCAGAGTCCTTGTCCAGATGAAACCTGTGTGCACCTGAATTCACAACCCCTGAGTTAACCTGTCTCATGCTGTTAGTGCTGCTCTTAACCCCCTATACCCTGCCTGAATTCCTGGCACTGAATTTCCAGATGCTCTTATTTGTTTGTTTATTTATTTATTTGCTGTCACTTCAAGTCAGATAGGAAATTTGAAGGAGCAGTGATCACTCCCTGTTGGATACAATTCAAATCTCATGGTCTTCTGTAGTCCAGGTATACTTTATAGTCACCTGCAGCAAGATCCATCCCTGGAAAAGCTGTGGTGTTTGAAGCTGACTATATCAGTCCCTATTGGTTTGGTTTTCATCCCTGCTTTTGGAAGTTCTGGGCAGCTCAGCCTTGTTCAGCTGAGCAAGTGAGGGCAGGGGTTCTCCTTAGCCAAGAGCCTGAAGGAGCTCAGGAGCCAGAGTGATCCCTGCTGATGCTGCTGCTGTTTGAGAAAGGATTGTGAGCTGTGGGGTCAACATCGTGCTCCCAATGGCTCAGGGGGCTCTGACTCTGAGGCAAATCCTTTTGTGGCAGAGCAGGCAGAACGTGATGGGACAGCCTTAGATTCATGTGGCAACGTGCATGTATTGAAAGACAGCAGTGAAAAAAGCAGGCTGACCAACAGAACCCACAGGAAGCCATTTTGTGTCCTACAAAACATAAATCTAATACTTACATTGTTGCCATCGTGATAAATTGTAGTCAACCTGCCTGAAATATCTGGCTGTTTGGCATGTGAGGGAAAGCAGCATAAACCAGTAAAATCTGCCAGTGGGTCACTTAGGGAGAAAGCAGCTTCATTCACACTTATCTTTTTCTGCATTTCTTTTCCTTATTGTAGTTTTCTTTTACTCCAAGGTAAAAGAAGAAGAGCTTAAATTACTAAACTATTTTCTTGATATTTAGAACAAAAAATCTGTGGTGCTTCCTTTTTATACTTCAGCAGTGGCTTTTCTATTGTCCAGGAGTTAGCAGTAAAATTACCTTCACTTTACACGTTCCTTGTACTACCCACCTTAAAGTTCTGATGGCTGTTGTGTGATGATCTGTGTTTGGACAGCATGTGGTGGTCAAGAAAGTGGGGAAGCTGATCTAAACCCCAAGGTTTTGGGTTGTTTTGGGGTTTTTTCCCCACAAAAAAAAGGGAATGCTTTTGCTGGCAATAAGGAAAACTACTACATGGATAGGAGAATTATTATTGAAAAGAGGAAAAAAGTCATCACAATGCTGTTTATCACTATGTTGAAGAAAGTTGCTTTTTAATCTCAGAAGTACTTTGCTAGCTTTGGGTAGTAAGGGGAGTGAACTAGTCTAGGAAATTGGTTATTATAAAGAAAGAAAATACAAGGTTCCTATTTAAAAAGTTTTAAAAATAAAGTCTAAATGCTTTGGTTATAGACCTTAATTATTATTGTTCTGTCTTGCTTGAATCGTGTGGTCATTTTTGTCTATTGCCCTCTCTATCCTTGGTTAGCATGAGGGTAAAACCTGATTGTCTTTGAAAGGCCTAATGCTGGAACTCATGGTCAGAAGGAGTTCACACAGTCACCAGGTGAGCAGTGACATCCATCCCTGTGCAGCAACATGGCAGCAATTCATCCAGACATGGAAAACCATCAATTTGTGTCATCACCTTTACTCTATTCTGAGCTCTTTGATGCATTCAGAAATCAGGGCGTTTTGGGGTGTTCTGTAGATTTGCTGTGGAAGAGAGAGCAGTTCTCTGCATGCCAGCATGAACACAGGGACCTCTGCTGAAGCTTTACCAGTGAAGAAACAACTGTAAGAAGATCTGTATCCTATTTTTGTAGTTTATAGATCTATGTTATACTGACAGTTTCTGCTGACTTGGAGAAATAAATAATGTCCAAAATGATCTTTATCCAGGAGGTTTTCCTTTACAGTGCTACTGCTGGTAGATTTTTAGATATTTTTTTCAATTGTGCCTGTACCTCCCACCTCCAGCACTGTTGGTTGTGTCTTTGTGTCCATTCCAAATGTGGGAATGCTTTCATTTATGGTAATAGTTTTAGATGAATGTCTGTCTTCCCCCTAGGAGCCAGATGTGGCAGTTTATGACTTGCCACCCTCCAAAGAAATCACTTGTTTGACAGGAGATGGCCCTGAACAAGGATCTCTGCTCTTCCAGAACAGTGCAGAGAAACTGAAATTTCTTGCATGTGTTTCCATGCAGGAATTTGAGAAACTGATAATAAAATACTGTATTAACTTGTCTTTAGATTGACAGTTGTAACTTAATAGAATTTGGCAAATGCTGTAAAGAAGAGAGGAAAAAAATCCCATCTATTTGTTTTTATGGTGGTTTTATATGTATTGACTTAATATTAGTTGCTGGGCTGATACCCTCGTAGCCTACTGCTTCTGTGGCTTGGAAGTAAAAAATAAATTACATTTCCAAACCAGCTCTGAGCAAAATTATGATGGGTTTTGTGTAAACATTTGAAAAGAGCCAATCCTGATTCTCAGCAAACCAGGTGAATGGATATCTTGTTAACTTTTGTTAATCCTGGGACAGAATCCAATATTATCCAAAATTCTTCATTATCTGTATTTTTGTTTTTCTCCAAGAACAGAGGATGCTACGTGCTCTTACTGGATTTAATTTAGTGTTTCATACATAAATCTTTTTGAGAAAGTATCTGGAATAACAAATTAAACAGTTTAAAAAAATAAATTAACAGTTAAAAGCCTCAACTGTTGTGTATGTTGCTTTTTATGTGGAGGTCTAGAAGGACAAAATCTGCAATAACTAAACACTTTTTGGCTGTAGTCTCATTGTCTTTTTTTACAACACCAGCCACTTTTAAAATCAGGTATTTGCACAGGCAGTGGTAGATACTAAATCTTGTCCTGGTGCCCAGGTGAGAGTTTGGAAGGTGCAAACAGCAGGAGCAGCTTTGGGACGTTGGCTGTGGCAGAGTCAAAGCCTCGGCTCAGGAAGCTCCATCCTGCACTTACTGAACACAAACAAAGGCAGTTCCATCCTTGTCTGAGCAGTTCAGCAATGGGGGAGTCAGGGCATTCCAAATGGAATAAAACATCATGCTAACATCTTTGTGGTCTTTGTTGCTGTAGGCCAACTCATATTTTTAAATCTTCCCAAAATGAGGTGGCATTCCATTAATGTGATTGATAACCACAATGGGGTTGTACTCAAAGCATGTAAATGTGTTCATCATATGTAACTGGAAGATAAGCAAAACACCAAACTGAAATGTGCTTTTTTTTTTGCTCTTTTTTTTTAATTTTCTTAAGTTTGCTATTACCAAGAGGCAGGTTATGTTCAGAATTTCTCTAGGAGTGCTCCACTGTGTCTTCTGCATGTCAATAGGAGTTGGATTAGGCCTCTCACAGAGCTGCAAGCAGCAGGATGATGTGAGGAAGACAAATAGTTTCTACCACAACTTGGCATTCATAAAATCCAAATCTAACCCTGCCTTTGAGTACATTTGTCCTTGCTTCCCCCTTTCAGTTGGGAACTTGTGAAACAGGAAATCCCTGGGAATGGTTGGGAGGATTTCCCATCTCACAGTTTCTCAAGGTACAGTTTGGTTTCTGTTTGCAAGTTTGCAGTTGTGTATTTGTATAAATATACTCAGTGCTAATGAAGTCAGTTTGTGAGTTCTTCTCTAATGGTGGTTTGGTTTGGTTTTTCTGTCTTAAATGAGTCCTGTGGTGGTTTTCTCTTGTGAGGAAAGTCAAAACAGTGTTTTTCTCCATGGATATGTAATCCCAAACTGAATGCTGAGTGAGAGGAAGGAAATTGCCACTAGTCTCAATGGGACAAAAGTTTCTTGGGAATTAGAGTAGCAAAGGGAAGCTTCACTGGGAATCTGCAATGTTTTCCAAAGCCTTGATATCCTTAACTTGGTTTTTTTCTGCCACTTGTGGATACACAAAATTTCACTGGAAATTGTGAATTCAAATCTTCATACAACAAAAGACTTATCCAATGGCTTCTTAGTATCACTGAAAAGAAAGTCCCTCTAATATTCCTTCCTCTCAATCAAAATTATCCACATCCCCTGATGAACTCAGATGCTTTACATGAAGGCATCCAAGCTATTCCTGTCTGGGCTAGAGACCATGAAAGTAATGATGCACCTGGCACTATTTTAAAGACATAAAAGTTTGAAAGTGCATGGATACATTTCTTCCCAAGGGTAATCTATACAAAAAAGGACCAGGATATGGTCTTAAGAAATTAATATTGGTCCTGTTCAGATCATAGTTTTGTTTCCTATACAAAGAAGAGGACAAATGTGTGATTTTTAATTACTTCTGTTGTCTATCATGTAATTTGTTTGAGATTTTTAGTAAGTGATTGGTTTTGTTTTTATTACATATTCCTTCAGTGCAGGCATATTTCTAATGAATAATCCTGCCATCCCAAGGATGTGAACCTGCAGGTTCTGGAATACCTTCTGAAGAGACTTTCTGCTCAGTAAAGATCAAGCCCCATTTCTAATGGATCAGTCCAGATAAGCTTTCAAAATTTAAATGCTTATCATTTAAATTTCAGGAATTTAAAGCAGGACCCAATTTTTTCTTGTAAATTCAGTGTTGTTCCTGGTTTCTGTTACATCAACCCATGCCAAACAAGATATCCTGCACTGTTTATGCTTCTCTGAAAACCACTGGATACAATATATGTGATTAGTGAAGAACCACACACCTAACTGTTAAGCCTCTTTTATGAATCAGCTGATTTTTTTCCTATCTATTGGGGTTACTAATTTTGCAATGCTTCTTGTCAATGGTCTGCAAAAACTGCATGGGAAATACAAGTAGGAGGATCCCAGTTTGTGTCTCCCAGGTGGAATGGTTTGGTTCCAAACCCTGCCATGGGTGGGTGCTTTGGTGCTGTACAAAAAAGGGAGATCCCAACAGCAGCTGGTGGTGCCCAGCAGTGGGGCAGGAGGAACGGGCAGGAAATGATGCCCACAAGTTCCACCTGGACATGAGGAGGAATTGTTTTCCTGTGCAGTGACTGAGCACTGAACAGATTGGCCAGAGAAACTGTGGAGCTTCCCTCCCTGGAGATGTTCCAGAACCCTCTGGACACAATCCTGTGCCATGTGCTTGAGCAGGGAGGTGGCACCAGAGGAGCCACAGTGGTCCCCTGCAGCCTGACCCATCCTGTGAGTGTGTGAACAAAGAGCAGAGGAAAGAGCCAAGTGTGAGAGGAGGGTTTGGGCAGTGCTTGGACAGAGGCCTTTTCTGTAGCTGGATTCTTCTGACCAGTCACTCCACTCTTCTTTCTGTCCCTGTCGTGTTTTCCAGTAAATGTGTAGAATATGAATGTTGTGTTAAAATGACAAAGTGTCGGACAAAAAGCAGAAAGGATCATGTGGTTTGGGGTTGGTTTGGTTTCCCCCCCAGTCTTAGCCAAACAAATGACGGTGTTAGAAATGGCACAGCTGGGTCACCAAAGTGATGGTGCCTCCGGAAGGATCCATGACATTTATTTGGGAAAAGCACCCCCTGCTTTTTACAGTCCCCTCCCTGCCACTGTTGCTAACCCTGTGCCATCCCTCAGCAATACTGATTTAACTGTTTGCAAAGCTAGATTGGAAACTGAGGCAAAATCATTGATATAACCTCAATTAAAAAAAAAAAAAAAATAAACCAGCCTCTACTCCACTCCAAAGAAAAAAACCTAAACAGAAAAAAACCCCAAATCAACCAACCAAAAATCCTCAAAACAAACAAAATCCCAGAAACTTCCAGAGGGAAGGTGAAAGCCACTTCCAGACAACTTTTATGGTCATTATCCCCATGCAATATTGTGTGGCACGCTGAAAAGTATTTAAGAATAGCATCAATTTAATGTGAAATCAAATGCCAGAACAGATGATACAGTGGTTGCATTATTGAGTAGCATACTGAATTCAATTAAATCTTGTCTTGTTAATAAATCTTGCATCACTGCTGACAGCTGCTGTGAAGGATCCTGAGATTGTTTTGTGAGGACGTTCAGCCTGTTCCTAGCGGTGCCTGAGGAGCTGGTGGATGGCTGCCCAGCACAGTGACATGATTGCATCTTGTGAGCTTGACTGCAGATTGCTATCACAGTAATAAAAACCAAGTTAAAAATTACAAAAACCTGGTACCTCTAAAAGCTTATGAGCCATAGAAATGACCTACTACTAACTCCTTATTACCTCTGAGTAATTGTTTATTAGGTTCTGGTTAGATTTTAAGTTGGAAGAATTGGGCAAATTGCTGTTGGTCTTTATCACAATCTCTTTTTTTGCTGTTCTGATGCAGCAGCCGTTGCTGGTAATCAAATTCCTGATCCACAGGGAAGGAGGAATAACTCATTTTTCCAGATAACACTTGCTGCATTACCTGTGTGCACAATTCTTTCCCATGAAGCATGGGCATAAAGGAGCAAGTTCTACACAGCCAGCAAGGCTAAAAAAGAAACATCATCTACAACTGATGAAACTGGTAGATTATATAGGAAAATAGTTCACACTCTTCTTTCATTCTAAAGAAAACTCTTACCAATTTTTTTAATCTGATTACTGTTCTTAGACTTTTTTTATGTCACTATTTACAGAAACTTTTAGGAAAGAATTTGTGTCTTTTATATTAATTCTTATGTTTATAACTATAAAGATTATCTTCCTGAACTAACCACTCCCTCTTAAGCCCAGCTTTGAAATGTTTCCATTATGCTTATTGAGAAGATTAGGAATTAGAGATGTCCATTCAGAAAAGTATTTAAAATAATGATAAATAAACTATAAAGACCATGAGGGTTAAAGATTGAAAATTAAACTTTTAACTACTATCTCCTTGCTTTGCAGCCTTAATACGTGCACTGTGATTCCTCCTCTACATTAACATTCAGAAAGTTTTTCCCCATGAACATGTAATTGTTTGTATTAGAAGCTTAAATGTTGTACTCAAAATTAGAATCATGCCTGTGGGTATTTAGAATGGAAGAATAATACCAGCTAATGACTTCAGAGTAACTAGTAAAATTACATCAGGGAGAGTACTTCAGATTTTGCAGATTGGCCAAATTTATGTTGATGAGAAATACATAAGGTTTAGCTCAGTAAAATTTAATGAAACCTAGCATATATTGAGGAAAGGGAAGCATGCAGACTTATTTGTTGTGGAAATTTGTTAACTTTTTATTTCAGAGATAAATGAAGTTCTGCTTTATGGAAATGTCTGGTTATTTTTCTAAAACATTGTTATACCTTTTGATGTAAGCAGTTATATGGTCTTGCAGATAGGTTTCTTTAGTAAATTGAATTTATTGGAAGTTGTTTCTTCACAACAATAAATGTATTTCTTCACCAGGAGTCCACAAAGGCATATTCCTATGCAGAAAGAACTCAGTTGGTTTGAAATGCAAAGGAAACCAGAAGAGTTGCAGTTCAGAGTTTTCTAGAAAATGACTCTATCACTTTTCTGGCTGTTTTCACCTTTGTAACATCTTTTTGTGTTCAAAGATAACTCACACCTGCCCTGAAGAATGCACAGCCCTTACCTTGGGCTCCAGCCCAGGTCACTGACAGCCATCATTCATACAACTGCTTCTCACTTCTCTCCTCAGAATTTGGGGTAATTTCATCCTCCAGTTTCAGCAGCATTTTGCTTTATTGAAAAGGGAGGATGCTCTAAATAACTTTTTGCTGTGGAAGGTACAAGAGACAGCAGTTTGGATCTTGATA